GTGTGTGTGTGTGTGTGTGTGTGTGTGTGTGTGTGTGTGTGTGTGTGTGTGTGTGTGTGTGTGTGTGTGTGTGTGATAGCAAACACTTTTATATCTAATGTGTCTAATAGCATGGAGCTGGTGTTCGGGGCTGACAGTGTAACAGAGAGGTGACAACTTGTGCTCAGCTCTCACTCATCTCTCACCTCTTTCCTCTCCTTCCTCACCCCACCTTCCTCCTCCTCCTTCTCGGGGCATAAAACGGACGAAGAGGAGGATGGACTGAAGAGGCTCTCTCCCTCTCTCTCTCTCTCTCTCCCTCCCTCTCTCTGTGTGTCATCTGTTACAGTTTGCCAACCACACCCATAATATAGCACATACCAGAGCTGTCTCATACGGTCCTGGGGCCCTAAACAGAATGTGACCCCCCCTTCAGTAATGAAAGAAATAGTCTGAACCATGACCATATTTATAATAATCATTTCATTATGTAATGTTACACATGGTAATGATTTATCGATGTGTAGTTGATACACAAAACGGACATTTTAGGAAATATTCTTTCCAGACGATGGATGACAAGTTTATGTGCCGTGTTTAACTTCAAAGGTGATTTATAATTTTACATAAATAGCATCTGCATTAATAGTCTCCTTAATAATTTATGTTCAAGCCGAACATAAACGTATAATGATCAAATTATACAAAGCTCATGTCAAATAATCACCGTGCAGACTCCGACTGCGATTGACTTTAAAAGTGCAAGATAGCGGCGGACGTATCCTGGATATTGTGGCTTCATTTCCCGATGGTGGGAGTGGAGACATGTCAGCCATCTTTGTTTACGGTCTACGTGTTGGGTTGTGCTTCAGTGCCACCTCTCTTGTTGTTTGTGCTGCTAACTAAGTTAAACCATATTAGAGGAAGTCTTTAAATATAATTCTTTGCTACTTATAAAGCCATGATTTTTTAGGAAACAAAATATAACAGATGATCGGAGGGGGACGTAACTACAGAGAGAGAAAGAGAGAAGCATGTTCACTGTGATAACTGTCTCGAACAAACAGCAACATGTTCCTTTGAGTCTTTCAGATAAAGTCACACACGAGCGCTGTCGGGCCTGGAGTGAAAGAATTCCTGTAGTTGTGAGGAGGTGGAGCGGCATCATTCGTCTCCCTGAGACCAGTGACCCACTTTGGTTCAGGTGTAATGTGACAGCTCCCCGACGGCCCCCCCTCCTCCCATCGTCCCCCTCCCTGGCTCTGCGTTCTAACCCCCAGGAGGCATATCCATGTCACGCTGCTGCACAGGTACTCCGCTGTCACAGGATCAGTGAGCTGCAACCTGCTCACTCTGCTTTTCCCACATTAAACCCGACAGATGCACATATTCATATCACCTGTTAGTTTACAGCATCGTTATGTAAACTGTTCGTTTGTGCATCTCAACTCTATATATATCTAACTTTATATAAACTTAAACAGAAACCTGTGGAGATGCAGGCAGCCATGTTGAAACTGAGCTCACCGTTTCTCTGCACAGTCTCTTTCACCTTTAGTGCAAACGCCCTTAGGCAACGACTGAGTGTTGTCTTTGTCTTATCGTCTCTTATACACACACACACACACACACACACACACACACACACACACACACACCTGCACAGGTAAAAAACTCCCAACAAGAATAAAAAAGAGTCCCTTAGTTCAGTTTGCAGCATTAATAATTTACAGTGGGACGGGTAGGGACTTTCAGTCACAAAATGAAAGTCCCGACTCTTCCCTTTGCATGGTACTGTGTGTGTTTGTGTGTGTGTGTGTTTGTGTGTCTTTTGGTGTCTGGTTGCAGCTCCACCCTCATCTTCACCACAGTCTGTCTCTGAACATTAATGTCTCTTTAAACAAATCAAATCTAAATTCACGAGTTCTTAAAAAATAATAAATCATAAAGGACGTTTTCAGTCTCTCTCTCCAGTCCACCAGTGGACGGGACAGAATGTCTTTTTAGCAGCAGGAGTTTTTCCATGCGTCTTTTTCATTTATACAAAGCAACGTTAGCATTTTGCATGTGTCTTTAAATCAGATGTAAACTCTGTCTCTAGTTTTTGGTTGTGAACCCAGACACTTTTTTGGGATCTGGCTTTTAGTTGATATTTATTAAGATAAAGAGAGTATGAAGAAAAATCAACTTCTACTTTTAGAATTGGTTTGGAAAGGCAGGTTGACATGGCAACAAAATTAACCAATGAATGTTAATGGATGTATTCACTCCACTGCGAGTCGTCCCAGTTCACGTAAAAATGTGTTGGTGTGTCACAAGTGCAAGTCCCTGTTTAATATTTAGTTCCTGTGGTCGACACCTGACTGACTTCCCCTTTTCTGATAATAAATGTATAAACATTTGAACTTTAACTCAGTTAAAGAAGAGAAACTGTTGTTTTTATGGTCTCATATCTTATCTTATCTTATCTTATCTTATCTTATCTTATATTACTAACCTGTCTTCTCTGCAGCACCTGCTCATTCAGGTGCAGAAAAAGAAAACTGTGTCACATGTGTTTCTTTTTTATCGTAGAGGACTGCAGGTCGACAATATTTATGGTTATTCATTTCAGTGGAGGTCAGTTGTTGTTTGCGCCGTCTCCATTATGTGGACGTTAACCTCGACCCGTCATCAACCTTGAGGCCGCTGAGCAGAGCAGACACCTCAGGGCCACACCCAAGCGTGAGAGCTTAACCTGTTCTGCTCTCTGCTCCATATGGGAACTATTTCATCCACAGTGTAGAAAGAAGCTTGAAAGAGGTTTGATGATAATTTAGCTTTTAGTGTGTGTGTGTGTGTGTGTGTGTGTGTTTGAATCACAGCCAAGCCAAACTTATGACGTCTCAAACTTTAATGTGACGCTGAGCAGAACAAGAAGCTGCATTTAGATGCAAATAGAAAGATGTTGAGATGAAATTTAAAATTGGGTTAATAGGTGAAGTTTTAATATAGATTTAGTTGCATGCACTAATTTAACTGATTCAGTGTGTTTCAGTGTGTTTCAGTGTGTAATCGGCCCTGACAGTTTTTATCACAACCTTAATTTCCAGTAATATTAAGAGCAAAAACAATGCCAGACGATTAGCCACACCCTGACCACCAGCAATTATCCTCATTACTCATCAGCACTTTTAATCCTTTTGCTAAATGAAAAACTTTCCTTTGAGCTGCAGACACACACACTGCGCATTGTCGGGGACGTTAAACAGAAGGTGCCAAGTATCAAACAAGATGAGACATCGCTTCAGACAGTTCAGACGCTTCTCCTCTTTCAAAGGCCTCTCAGATGAGCTGTCTGTACACGCCGTGCAGAGGTTTGAGTCAGAAATGCAACATGAAGAGAAACTGTGTGTGTGTGTGTGTGTGTGTGTGTGTGTCGATCAGGGGATTTTAATTCAGGTCGGGTTAATAAACGGCATTCCTCCCTTGATTCCAGCCACTCACGCAGGTGTGTCAGTGGGTGTGGTGCCTGCATTCGCCCAGGAGGCTCCATCAGTTCGAGGGCAAGTCAGAAATGATCAGAGGGCGTTAAATATATTCATATTATTTGAAAGGTTATAACGGCTCCAGTCAAGCAGGCCAACAGGTGCAGTCTCCCGGCTGTGGTATTTTTTAATAAGACTATGTTGGTTTTGAATTTTCAAAATCTGTTTTCTCTTTGTAGCATCGTAATAAAAAAAAGTTATTTATACAAATTCAAAAAGCGACATCAGGGTGAGGGTCTCGATTATTGTTAATCTGAAAACTAAATCTCTTGTAAACACGGCCTCACATTTTATCAGGTTCTAAGAAACAAACCCACCAAGTTTGAATGGAAAACTATAAATACAGAAACACTTATAAAGCAAAAATTACAACGTTAAAAAAGAACACCTGTTACATTTCTTTACCGTCTAACGTCAAAATCGGTGACATTTAGCATCATTAGCAGTTTTTTGAGAAGTTTTGGCATCCACACATTTTTTTTAGCTCTGGTTGCGTCTCCACCCACCTCTGAGACAAACATCTGTCTCGAGGTGATTCATCATCTCCTCATCGACTTCGTCTGGCTGCTGCACAAAAGGATAAGAACAGTCATGATAAAAGCAGCTAATCTCCAGTGAAACCAAAACTATGAGTTACTATGAGTTAAGAGGTTTAAAGTCTCTGTAGAGCTGCAGCATTGAGGATAGGTCAGTGTGGAGTCGTTTATTTGTTTGGTTATCAACTTTTTAATTCAATATACAAAAGGGAAAGTTCCTTATTTGTGGTGCAGCTGCATTGGAAGCTCTGGTATGTTTATGCAGGACTTTTCAGGGATTTTAATTCAGCTCTAACTGAGAAGCAGTGAAGACACAACAACAGGTCTCTGCAGCGTTCAGGGACCATGAGTGAAACCAAACAATAGAAAGTGGATGAAGCGTAAAAGTTATTATAACAAACAACTTTCTCATATCTGAAAGTTATCCAGATTTGAATGTAATTTAATCCTAATTTGAATTGAAGCGCTCGATCAAACTCCCCTTCAAGATTTTTAACGTTGATACTCCTTCATGTTTTCATTTCCTGCCCCTGAGCCTTACAAATAAAAGAGCTTCTACACACAATCTCTACAATACCACAGAAACCATTGCAGCGTGCAAGCCGTATCCTGTCTGCAGTGATGAGGAATGAAAGGAGGTGGCTGAGGATGGGAACACTAAGACTACGCCTCGGATACACGCCCTGGACTGATTTAACTCATTGAACCAGAGGGGGAAAAAATGTTCTTTTGCAGTTCTGAAGGATTTCTGTGCAGCAGTTCATGTATGTTACCCTCACAACCTTGTTTTCATTTTGACCTGCAGTCAAAGGTCCCGCACTAAATCATTGTCATGTAGACTCAAGAGTTCAAGTTCAACTGCACAGCTGCTGCAGATGAGAACTCTAAGTACAGCTTTTTAAAAATGTTGTTTTGGCAAAAGGTGCATATCTGCGAGTTTAAGAACAAGAAAAGGCGTGTTCTTGTAATGTGCCACGGGCAATAACACTATGCCAAGGTGGAACCTTTGCTCCATGAGAAAATATATTTGGGCAGTTTATTACCTGAGTGAATTACTCACAGAAAGACAAGCAGACACCAGCTCCAAGACAAATACAAGAGCAGAATCTCTCTCTCTGTTGTGTTCATCGTCATGTGAAGTATGAAGGGCAAAGGATTTCCCTGCACACAATGACCCTGCTCCAAGTCGGCACTTACAGGCCTGATGGAAAACAACTGTTTGCAAGAAATCATAAATCAAACAAACTCCATCATCAACTAGTTTGCAATCCTCTCTCTCGTATTTTCCCTCGTGCATGCTCACACAAATGACTCGCAAACACACACACACGCTACATTCCTCAATAGCTGCAGAGTTTAATGGGTGACAGGGTGGTGCAGGGACTCTGCCCATGAACTGCAGGTTCTGGGCTCAAGCTCTAAGCAGACACACGTTATTATTTTTTTATCATCCTCATGATTTATGCCTCGACCTAAAAATATGCTTGTAAAGTGTGAGACCAGCAAAAACATGCTTCACCGTCAGAATTTCATTTTTATGATCTTTAAGTTTGGATTTTCTTTCTTCCTGATGCATCTTCTCCTCCTCTTCACCTCCTCTTCTCCTCCTCTCACTATCCAGAAATGAAGGAGGAGGTGAGAGACACAAAAGCAGAAAACTCCACCTTGATTCAAAAACAATTACAGAAACATTTGATTGTATAACCCATGATTTTTGCAGAAATTGCACATAATGAAAACAGATTCATTGCTGCTCTTGGTTTGGAGAAAAATGTCACCGCGGCATCACGATGTGGAAATTGTTGCCATTCATCATTTCACTGTGGTTTTGAATTTTGGTATTCAAATTGTTCGGGGCACTTCACTGTGTGTGCATTCTCCCAGTAAACATGTTTATTTATTTTATTCCATACTGCACTCATGATGCAATTATTTAAGTGTAAGAGAAAAAGAAAAATTCACCTTGCACACAGTAAACCAGCTGCAAAGAACACATCAAAACTCTGTTGTTACTGTGACACAACATGAAAATCATTTAACAAAAAATGTGTTTAAACAGCAGAAGTTGAACTTGTCTTAACAACTTTTTTAACTCATTCAGTTTGAACCGTCCTCAATATGTGTGATTCCTGTCATAGAGAGCGATATTAATTTTCTCCTGGAGTCGGTGTCATTCAAAAGCAGCTGTCAAACTTGTTTTTCCTGCGAGTCACACCCATGAGCTGCAGGCGAGTGTTTAAGTAGTGTGTGTGTACATGTGCGCGCATGTGTGTGTGAGAGAGAGAGAGAGAGAGAGAGTGGATGAGCAGGGTGTGTAGCCCAGGGAGAGAGCAAAGGTTTGATAAGTCCTGCAGACAACAGTGATGCAGCGCGTTGTTGGTTCTCTTTGAGATTCCACAGCGTGCATCACCTGCTCAGGTGCTCATCACCTGTGTGACAGTTTGCCTCAAGCTCCATTACAGCTGTCGTTTAGAGAGATAATCTGCTCAACACTGGAAACGTTAAGAGACCTTTCAACAAATCTAAACATGTATTTCAAGTTATATGACGATTGAATGTTCACACGTATTTGTCTTTATGCACTTTATGTTGCAAAATGTCCTCAATTCCCTGTAAAATGTTCCAGAAACTCCATAATTCACTTGTATCGCAGCAGTTTGTCCCACCACGGTTTCATGGTGAACCCAAAATACTTTTCTCTAAACTTTTCCAATAGACGTTTTCAAACAGTTCTCACCCTTGAAAAATGTCCAAACTTCGAAGTCCAAAGACTAAACTTTGCCTCAAATGTCCAAATAGTCCTCTATCTCCAAAAATGTTCCACATTTTATTTAATGTCAGAATGAACAAATTGTTCTCGCTCTCCAAAATGTCCATGATTTCAAGAACTGACATAACTTTACACAGACTAATGCTTTTCAAGAAATTCTCACCATCTTGTCCTGCACAAAAAAAATCCACAATATCTTAACTTTTCAAGAAATGTCCTTTAACTTTATCAAAATGTCCTCACTTAAAGGTCCAGTGTGTAAGATTTAGGTGAAAGGGAACTATTGGCAGAAATCTAAATTATATGAATTGTAGTTTTCTTTACCCCAGAAAAGGTCCTTTATATTTAAATACTTTATATTTACATCGAGGGGACCCTCTCTACGGAGGCCGCCATGTCTCAACTAAAGGCTGCAACAGGTTCTTTCTCATGTTTGGAAGGAGAGGGGGAGGGGAGGGGTGTTCAGCTGCAACATGACACTTCAACACTAGATATCACTTAATTCTACACACTGCACCTTTAACTGAAATGCCCATATATTTGATCAATTAAAAAAAGTCTGATCCCTCATGTGTGCAAATAGTTCACTCTCCAAATAAAACCTTCACCTTTCAAATTGTTCTCACTTTTTACAAACTTTTCCAAAACGTCTGAACATGTTTTAAACTTTATCAACTAAAATGCCCATATATATTTAAAATGTCCTAACTTTTAAAAGTTCATCACCCTCACTTTTCTATATTGTCCAACAACTTTTACAACATTTGTAAAATGCACCAAACTTTTTCAAGTAGCAGACACACACACACACACACACACACACACACACACACACACACACACACACACACACACACACACACACACACACACACACACACACACACACACTGGCTCCAGCTGATTTAGGAGGAGAACGTGGGGAGTGGTTTTTTGGCACAGACAGAGAGGTGTGGTCTCCAGCCTCCAAAACCGATCCGCCCCCCGCCGCAGCTCGCAGTCCGGCTCAGAGGGACCGAGGCACCAGGTGGAGAGACACACAGGAACCCGTCCTGCAGCGCCTCTCCTCCGCCTGCTCACATCCACAGAGTCGCTGCCACCTCCACCGTCACGATGAGTCATTACGGGTCCCAGCAGGGGCTCAGCATGAACCGCAGGGCCGGCTCCAAGAGCGACCTGTCCGGCCCGGGGACCTACAGTTACGCACGGAGCGAGGTGGTGCACGGAGGCGGTAATGGATACGACCCTTACATGGACGGATACAAAAGCCTTTCCTACTCGAAGACCACTAAAGCTGTCAGCGGGGGCGGCATGACGAGCGCGACCATGGGCGGTAGGGGAAGCGGCATGATGAGCGGCATGGGAGGCGGCATGATGAGCTGCACGGCAGGCGGCGTGATGAGCGGCATGGGAGGCGGCATGATGAGCTGCACGGCAGGCGGCGTGATGAGCGGCATGGGAGGCGGCATGATGAGCGGCACGATGAGCGGCGTGGGAGGCGGCATGGTGTGCGGAATGAGGTATGAATTAATTTTGTGAGACTTTTCTTTGTGCTTTCTTTTCTTCCACCTGTCGCTCTCACCCGTGCTGCAGGAGGAGTCACGTCACTGTGAGCAGCTGCTTGATATGAAATATTCATCACGGACTTGTGTTTCTGTCCTGCAAACCCTGAGTCAAACCGCCACGACACAAAGTTCTCAGCATTTGCATTATAAACATTTAATTCTCCAAACCAATGCACGAGGGTGTTTGCAGGGAGGTCTGCAGGTTTGTTTGTTTTTTATTTCTGCAGATTGCTCCAAGTAACTGTTTGATTGTTTGAGAGTGTTTCCTATTGTGCATTCATAATGTGTTTATTAAAGGCGGCACCACATCACCTTACCCCTGAATTACGCAACGGATTATTCGCCGTGATAATGAAACAGTGCTGCTTTGTAATTAATGCCCTAATGACTTTCATCTCGAGAATCATAAATCAGGTTGTTCTCTGCACAACAGCTCCTCTGTCTGATTTACAGCTCACATTCAGCTGCTGCAGCTCCACACCCACTCTTTATTCACTTCCAACAACAATCAGCACAGATTCTTAAATGTGACTGTGGTACTGAGGGGAGAGAGAGAGAAACTCCATCCAGGGTTGTTTGACATTAAAATAAATCATTTTGATCCAGGTGAGAAAAGAAAACGATAGAAGAGGAGGCAGATAAGTTCTTGGATCCAGTAGAAACTTGTTTAGAGAAAAAGTCGACTCGTTGCTGAGGAGTTTCTGTTATTTTGCATCTATATGAAGCTGGATCGATAAATCGACAGGACCGATACAGATGTTAGTGTTAAACAACATTCTCATCATCCTCTCATTGTGACCACAATATGTTTGATGCAAAATAAATAAGTTTATGGATGTTTTTACCCATTTTCCATTGATGTGTTTTGCATTAAAATCCCTGCATATCCACTTATCACTATCTATTAATTCTCAAATACTGAAAACCAGAGCAGGTTCATACTGTATGTACCAGCTTTACTGTTCTATTAACTTTTTCAAGTGCAAGATGCCATAAATTATTGAAAACCAGGGCCAAATGCAGATACTAAAATAAACTACATTTTATTCCTAGATGACAAACAAAGCTTTTGCACATGAATCCCACAATACAACTAAAAGCTTATTCTGACTTTTATAAATGACAGATAAACTCCTTGTCCTCGTCCAGGGGTCATGTAACCTAAATATTTTGTGGCAGGATCACAAGAAAAGTGATGTTTTCAGGCCAGCTGAAAATATTCACAGACAGAAACTGATCCCATCGGTTTGTTTTACAGTGAAAAAGGTGATTGGTGATGATTCATGATGGTGATGAGTTTACTCTGCTGCCCCCTACAGTGGCTCCAACCTCAGTGCCATCCACCAGAGGGCCATGAACCTGCAGGTCCAGTGCCAGGAGTACCTGAAGAATGCCGAATACGCCCTTCAGTCTGTGAGTCAAGAACAATCCTGTAGCAACTTAAAAGCTCGTTCAGGTGGTTTTTATTTCACGATAAAGTTGTAAACAGCTGTGCGGCTTCTCCTCTGGTGCAGGAACCATGACCAGGACGTGGAGTGGTTCAGTGAAAGTGTGTGTGTGTGTGTGAGAGAGAGAGAACATGTCACCAAAACCAGGCTGCTGATAAAATAATTTTGTTTATTTCTCTCTTGAATCTGAAACGTCCCAGAGCAGCGTTTCAACTGTCAGTGATTGATTCATCGTGTCAGAGCGAGTTCTGCACAGATTGAAGTCGCAGCACACACAGAAACCTCCTTGGCTTCGTGTTGAGCAACATCTTGTGCAAATTATTTATCTCTGGTTTTATTCTTGGCAGAAGTGGGCGTGTGATTTATCGGCCTGTTGACTTGTAACGCTCAGATTTGACCTGATCTCCCCGCAACTGTGTGACTCTAGTTAATTGAAATGTGTGAAATTCTGAGGAGCGCCTTCATCTCATCCCTCTGACAGACATGGACTCATCAGGTTTCACGTCTTTGTCATGGAGTTCCTTATTTCTTTGAAAAAGTAAAAGCACTGCATTTGCTTAACTAAGCAAAGATAAGTTACCCGACTGCACAAGGAAAAATGTCAACCATGCGTTTTTCACTTCTTCAATTTTAATTGCGTGGGAGAAAGTAAAACAAAAACTTGGAAGCAGTCAGTCAGTCTTCTTTATCGACTTTGAACTGAGCTGATGGACAAACAGTTCTATGAAATTGGATAAATGCCATCAACAGTGTGCAGGAATTTCTTATAAAACTTCTCGATATACTATAGACTGAAAACCAGATGTGCACTTTGCTTTTCTCTCTCTCTCTCTCTCTGCACAGCAGTTTATGTGCAACTCTTTCTGTTGCTTTGGTTTGTGAAAAATTGATTATTGATTATTTCAACATTTTCAATACAGGGACAAATAAAGAATCTATCTGTCAAGATGCAGGTTAATTCCTCTATTCTCTTAATTTTCCTTCACACGCTGTGTTTCGGTCCTGCAGGGCAACGCTCCGGGCGATGCAGAGGGATACATGATGATGGCCAAAGAGACGATCGAGCAGCTGAAGACCTGTGCGATGGACCTGAGACAAATGGGACAACCGAACGACAACGTAGTGAGGAGGTAAGAATGGCTCATCGTCTCTGTCTTTTCTGATTTCGCTGTTTTTGTATCCCCTCTTGCCAAATGTCCCTTCTCTCTTCCCGTTGCGTAGCTTGGAACAGTGTAAGGACCAGCTGAAGGGCGTCCACATGGTCATGGCCGGCTCCATGAAAAGGAGACGCAGCACCAGGGGGAGCTCCGGAGGCTGGGAGGAGCCCGGGAGGAGCTACCATGATGCTATCGCCTGGATCTCACAGCAGAAGGTGTGTGAGCGCTGACGCACAAACACAGAAACAAAACTACAACGTTACTCCAGCCAAGACATTCTCAAACTTTTGTCTCGCAGCTCCTCCTTCAGAAAAGGAAAAAAAGTTGTCCCCACCCCCCCCACTCCCCACAATTAATTAAAATAAAGCTTAAAGTGACTCAGACTCAGTAAACCAGAGCACAGTGCACACAGAGTTTACACGGGAAGGAATTCCTCCTCAGACTTTGGATTAAAGTTGAGCCTGATATTAACAACAATACATTTATTACACTTTGACAGTTAAAATTAACGCTACCAGGAGAAGAGCTGAATTTTAAATTAAGACTTGTTTTGAGTCTAAACCAGTTTCCTGAAATGTGGTGCAAAAAGAAGAATTCATGATGTGCCGTGTTTCTCTGCCTCCACCTGCTGGTGTAACTCCTTTTAATTAATGGTTATAAAACTGAAACCAGTAAAGAACTCCAACTTGAGTGTTGTTGTGAATCTGTTTTCTGCTGAATTCATTTATTCAACTTTTTTTTTTTGCGTCTGTTGTGTTTCAGCGTCTGATTGAAACTTCTCCTTGGGGAGACGACGCTGCCGCCATCGAGCAGCAGAAAGCGAATCACCAGAGGTTTCACAATTCCATCCAGCGGAGCACCGAGGTGGACCGAGCCAGAGACGACCTGGTGGGTTTTTATTTTTGGGATAAATCAAAGAATAACTGATCATGTTTTAATGGATTTTTGTGCCTCAGCTTTTTCTATATTTATCTCACTACATCGATGCTGTTCTCCTCCCACAGCTTAAAAAAGGAGATAAAGGAAATCTTCACGCTCTGGAGCAGGAGTGGGACAGTCTCCAGGTGAATGGCGCAAAATACTCATCGCTCCCTGCGCTGTATCTCCAGATAAACTGTCGCCTCTTTATTTAAACTCTCGCTCTCTCCTCCAGCAAGTGTCGTTTGGTCGGACGCAGCAGCTGCAAGATCTGCAGCAGATCATCCAGGAGATCTCCAAAGAGATCATGTGGGTGAACGACAGGGAGGAGGAGGAGCTGGTGTTTGACTGGGGAGACAAGAACATCGAACAGTACATCCCCAAGAAGCAGGAGAGCTACTCTGTGAGTAAAAAGAGTCCATGTTTTAATTTCAGTCTTTCATTCAGGTCGATGAACGTTCTTGGGAATCCTCCAGGGCCTAAGTGACACTAATGCTTTTTTATGAGGTTAATCTGAATCTCATATGGGAGCAATCATGTGTGGTGGATTAGGTTTTGGCAGCTGCAGTCAGTCAGACGCCACAGAGCGTTCCTCCGGCTGCATCCCTGTAATTTTTTATATCCCCAATGATGTCTGAACTTTCTCTTATATAACAGCAACTGATGAGCGCTCTGGAGGAAAAAGAAAAGTACCTGAATAAGCTGAAGGCCAAGGTGGACACACTCCTGAGTAACGACCACCCGGCCTCAGACAAGATCGAGGTGCGGACACATCAGTGAAGAAAACACAGTGTTTACATTCATTTAGAGGTGTGCCTGGTTTTTTTCTTATATATAAATGTAGTTTTCTTGCTTTTGTTTTCCAGGCGTACAAAGACACACTGCAGACTCAGTGGAGTTGGCTCCTTCAGATCACTAAATGCATCGATACTCATCTGAAGGAAAATGCTGCTTACTGCCAGGTAACACGAGCGAAACACACAGCGGAACTACGTCGACTAGATTTTCATTTAATTGAGCCGCACAAAATTATACACCCTCATAAATATAAGTCCCCTGAATATATCTTTCATCAAGATCCATGAATCCTGGGAAAATGGTGAAAATGTACTTCTACCAAGGGAGAACCTTTCAGTTGTTTTTGTGTATTCCTGCTCAAAAACGTACAATTATAAATATAAATGAAGGGACTCTGCTCTCTCCTTACAACCTAATGATCTATTCTTCTCTTATCAGCTGAGAAAACAACACATTATACAGCCCAGCACCTTCCACGGGTCCCTGCTGACCTGAACAATGTGTGTTTGTTGAACAGTTCTTTAAAGAGGCCAATGAGACGTACGCCGATCTGCAGAAGGATCATGAGAGTGTTCGGAAGAAGTTCACCTGTGACAAGAAGACGTCTCTGGAGAACCTGCAGGAGCTCCTCGTGAGCCTGGAGGTGATGACAACACATCAGCTGGACTTTCTGAGCAGGACAGAGCAGGGAACTGAAGCGTGCACGAGACCTCCTGAGTGTAGAGACACTGTAGAGCTGCTCCTCTAACTCCATGTCAACAGATCTCTGAGTTATTATTGAGACTTTTACTACATAATAGTTTATTCTATCTATCTTCATTCTATTGTGTCTGTTCAAGGTCACTGGCATATCATGTTGAATTTTTCTATTCAAGTATTCCTTACTGTACATCTGTTTTAATAAGCTACAGTTGGAAACGAACTTGTTTTTTTAAACCTGTCTCCAGAGGGAGAAGGAGAGGATCATGGAAAACAAGAGGCAGGTTCAACATCTGGTCAGCAAGTCGAGGAGCATCGTGAGACTGAAACCCAGAAACCCAGAGGAGAAGAGCAGCGGCCAAGTCATTGTCAAGGCTCTGTGCGACTTCAAACAAGACCAGGTCAGTTTCACATCATTTCACCGGCACAGATCCGATATTTGAAACCACTAGTTATCGTCTGCCCTCGAATGATAGATCCTCAAATGCATCAGATGCTTGTCACGTGCAGCCGGATTAAACTCTGTGTGTTTCTGTTATTTCTACAGAAGGTGATCCTTAAGGGCAATGAGGCCATTCTGAAGGACAACAGTCAGCGCAGCAAGTGGGAGGTGACTGGCCCAGGAGGACTGGACATGTTGGTGCCGTCCGTGTGTCTGATCATCCCCCCGCCCAATCCGCTCAGTGTCAGCCTCGCCAACAAGTTAGTAACACGGAGAAACAAATCCATGCATGAAAAGAAAAAGTGTGAGCAAAGGTTGAAATTGAATCTCTGTATCGTCTGAAGGAACGAGCAGTACTATGAGGCCATCCTGTCCATCTGGAACCAGCTGTTCATCAACGTGAAGAGTCTCCTCGCCTGGCAGTACTGTCTCCTGGATATCAGACGCATCAGCACCCTCAACATGTCCATTGTAAGTGACAATTAACGTCCCTGGAATCACTCTCTGTTTTCTCACGGGACAGTTCTGCTTCACACAACACTCTAGTCTTACCTCTGTGGGACTTATGATTCTCTTACGTTGTAAGTAAATCATAACGTGTGTCCATCTCCAGTTTTCCAAGATGCGTCCTGAGGAGTCTCGTCAAATGATCAAGAGTCTGGAGACAAACTACGAGGAGTTCAAGAGATGCTGCCTCGGCTCGCAGATGTTTGCTGACGAGGACAAGAGGGAAATCGAGAACCAGTTCACCGGAGCCCAGAACCGCTACGACCAGCTGGTGGTGCAGCTGCCTACTTACAGTCAGTATCACAACATGTACACTGTGCACAAATCCACAATGTTTTTAAATTTAAGGTTCAGCAACTGGTGAAGTTGCTGCAGAAGATTGAAAATTAAGGAAAAATCCTCAAATTCCAAATTCTTTAGTTTGAGCATATATCATACAGATTATAATTTCATAATAGATAGTCAACTAGAATGTCATTCACAGAGCGCCAAGGCCCAAAAGCTCCTTATGAAAACACTAGATGCACCAAATCAGACACCCATAAATATCAGTCCCTGAAACATCTCAAATTTATTTCATTAAGATTCTGTAATTACTTCCTGAGAAATACATACAAATGTTGAAAAATGTCTTCCAACGAACCGGAAACACACATTTCTGACATCAGACAATCTTTGTCACTTTTTGGAACCAATGATCCACACAAGGTCTAATTTGTCTCTGCTCAACCACTTTGGTCACTTTGAATTATCAGGTGTGAAACCAGTTCTGCAGTTGTATTATAATTTCTTTATTAGGCTCATCTTTGAGTGAGGCCACCTGGAACAGCTTTTAACCCTTTTGTCTTTTAGCCTTATCGCTTCCTTTAGCTGTTTTTCCTCCAACATTTCCTGAAAAATATCTTGTGTCTTCCTCAGTTGCTCATCAGGACCAAGAAGGCATGCAGCAAGCAGCCGCTCAGCAAGCAGCCGCTCAGCAAGCAGCCGCTCAGCAAGCAGCCGAGCAGCAAGCTGCGGCTGAAGCGGAGGCTCGGAGGCTCGAGGAAGAGGCTAGGAGGCTGGAAGAAGAACGAAGGAAAGCGGAGCTGAAAAAACAGTCGGAGAGAAAAACGGACGTGAAGAAAGTGGTTGTGAATAAAGAACATGTGATCAAGAAGGAGGTAGGGAAAGTGAACAAGGCAGAGGCGGGGAAGAAGAAGGTGGTGTCATCCTCCCGCAGCTTATCAGAGCTGCATGCGCTCAGACTGAGGCTGGAGGCCGCTGAGGGATCGCTGAGTCGGCACATTCATATTTGCCTCGGAGACGATGGGGAGCACGACTGTGGCCTCAGGATCACACAGTTAGAGGTAGATGCACAAACCTAGAGCATCAGAACACGTTTTACACCAAACGTTCCTCATATTCATTGCAGTAACTGTATTTATGTGTTTGTCTTTTAGGCGGTGCAACGTGACATAGACTCCATGCTTGAGGAGTATCTACGTCTGAAGGAGCACATCCTGAAAGAACTGGAGGGCATGAGTGATTCAGATAAAGCCCAGTTCCTCCGCAGCGAGATAGGCATCATCAACCAGAGACTGGGGAGTCTGGAGAGCAGCTCTTCATCCTATCTACAGAGGTACTGAACAAAAACAACCTCGTTCTGTGTTTGTTCAGGAAGTCTCAGACGTCAGCAGATCAAGATCAAGTGCTGAGTCATAATCCTTGTGGAACACCTTTAACATTTTAGTTGCTGTGCTGGAAGCAGATTTATGGAAAACTACCTATCTAACAAAATGTAACCAGCAGTGTTGAAAGCAGAGCAATGAGAATATGCTCTTAACGTAGAAGCTCTACAACTTAAGAACTTAAATCTGGTCTTTCCCAATCATTTTAAATAAGCATGAAAGACATAATAATAATAATATAATAATATATTGCATTTTATCTTCCTATAACAGTTTCTTCCACCTCTCATTTATCTCTTCATCTTTATCAGGCTGCGGGCTCTAAGGGACATGCTGGAGAGTGTGGCTCGAGCTGAGGACATAGTGAAAGTTCATGAAGCGAGACTGACGGAGAAAGAGACCACTTCTCTGTCGCAGAGTGAAGTGGAGGATTATATATCGGACCTGAAGGTATTTTTCAAGACACTTAATTTTCATTTTCGCATCTAAGAAAAGCTCATTCCTCTGCCAAAAGATATTTAAAAATGCAAAGAATCACTTGTGAAAGCTGTCGCAGTCATTTCTGCCTCACCGCTCTGCTTCATGCCGGCAAGCTGCAGCATGGACTGGAATCCTGGAGCGTATTAGTGCACGACTTAGTGATCGTCCATCGGATTGAATTAGAAAAGCTGTTGTGAGACGTCCTCGGAGTTCTGTCCTGTTTTTGTGTTTGGCATCAGCATCTCATTCCTATGTTGACGAGTGTCTCCTGTGCTGTTGATGTGCAGAATATTAAAGTCGAGTTGGATCAGAAGCAGGATGTTCTGACAACCATGGAGGCGGAGCTGGCCAAGGCGAGCCACTGGAACGGACAGGTGGTCGGCCCCTACCAGAGGTGCGACCTGATGCTGTCAAAATACTCAGAGCAAGTGGGACTGCTGTCCGACCGCTGGAGACGGATCCAGGGACAGATCGACACCAGGTATCATAATCTTTTAAAATGAAGAAGTGAAGACTGTGTTGCCCAGTAAGTGATTTTAACAACAACCTGGAGACCTGCACCAACTTCCTGTAAACAAGGGCTGGGCGGTGCGTCATATTATTGTCTAATTTGTCAGGAGTTATTTACTGTGAGACTTTTAACACACATCTGGGACCAGTTTCACAAAAGCAATTTTCAAGCACCACTTACACACAGTGTCACATTTCAGGAAAAACTGTTTCCTCAAGATTTCAGATACAGTTCCTTAGCTCTCGTATTCTCATGATTGGACTGTGAGTATGGTTGTTTGTTTTGAGTCAGATGTGTCAAAGTTTAAAGAGAAGAAAACGAAGATTACCGTTTGTTTGCAGCAAATGAGTTCAAACGAGCTCCTGACCCGGATTTAATACAGTGCTCGTCTATATGGACTTTCTGGCACAAGTGTTACTGAGACAATTAGTCGATTAAATGATTAGACATTCATGAGAAAAATGCATCAACATTTTCTCAAGCAACAACACAAAACATTTGTATATTTGAAGCAAAAAAGAAAATTCTGAGATAGCACCTTGAACCTCAGGATCTTGAGATAGAGACTTATATTGGATTCAAGACATTTTCTTTCTTTGGCTTATTTTCTTTTTATTCATTTTACTGTATTTATTTTCCTAACTCTGCAAAGTAGCCTTGGGCTCTAAAGTACTTATTATTATCATAGATTCAATGATTAATTATTTAATTAAAAAATATATAATAAGTGATTAACCTGTAATGCAGATAATAATTAGTTTCACTCATTTGCTCTATATTTACAATGATTATCGAAGTGTCCCTTGGGAAGTAATGATGAAGTTATTCTCTCTTTAACTCAGACACCAGGATCTGCAGCTCTATCTGCCTCAGCTGCAACACTACAAGGGAACCAGCTCGTCCTTCAGTGACTGGATTGATGCGACACGGAAAAAACAGGAAGCCCTGCAGGCCACCAAGATCGACAGCATCCAAACACTAAAAGACCACATTGACAACCAGAAGGTTTCTGCTCAGACCCTCATCATTCATTAACCTGCTTGTTGTGTTTTTGCTGTAAAGTCTCATCCGAGACGTCTTTACATTGTTGTTTTTCAAGGTGCTGAACACAGAAATCAAAACCCGGAGGGAGACGTTAGACAGCGTGCTGAAGGACAATGAGGCCTGCATGAACTCTGTCAAGGTAAAGAAGCTTAGAGGCAGCACAAGAATGGTTTCAAACTGCATTTTAATTGGTTAGTGGAGGCTTACAACCACCTGGGGCGTTAATCTTAATGAGACTGTGTTTCTGTCCAGGACTATGAAGCATATCTTGCCTCTTACTCATCTGGTTTGGAGACTTTGCTCAACATCCCCATCAAGAGGACGATGCTGAGGTCCCCATCGATGGATCTAAATCAGGAGGTAACTGCACCCACATTGTGTGAGATGTGTGAGTGTGTGAGTTGTGTGTATCTGGGAAATTAACTGAGGTGATGTACAGTAGGATTTAATCCTTATGTATTTGATCTGTCTGTGTTCCAGGCCACGCAGCTCCAGACCCGTTACATGGAGCTGTTTACACTGTCTGGTGACTATTACAAATTCCTGGGAGAGTTGCTCAAAAACATGGAGGAGCTCAAGGTACTGTTCTTTGAATGTTTGGGCTTGATTTATATTTTTTAATAGAATTTTTGTTTGTATTGAATCTTGGCAAAAGTTTTTAAAGAAGTGATAAAAGTTGACTGAAAACTGGACTTGACTCCAGCTGAATGTAACATTGTTCCAGATCTGCTCCATGTATTCATCTTTGTTTTTTCTTGCTTCCAGATCCGTAACACCAGGATTGATCTGTTAGAGGAAAAGCTTCGCCTGCTGATGGACGATATCGAAGACCTCAACTCCAAGAACAAATCACTGGAAGACTCTGTTGCTCGCTACCAGCTGGACCTGTCCCAGTCCCAGGACCAGCTGCTGTCGATGGAGGAGGTGAAGCAGAAGACGGCCATGCAGTGCAACGCCACCAAGGAAAGCCTAGATAGCACTCATGGTCAGTTGGCAGACCTCAACGATCAGGTGGCACGACTCAACTACTTACTCGAGGAAGAAAAGAGGAAGAGGAGGCTGGCAGAGGAGCGCTACACCCAGCAGCAGGAGGAGTATGACTCGGTGCTGAGGAAGAGGCAGAAGGAGCTGGAGACGGTCAGCTGGTCCAAGGTGGAGGTGGAGAAGAGCGTGGTCACTAAGGATCACGAGATTGAGCGGCTGCGGAGGCAGCTGGCAGATGAAGCAGCGAGGATTGAGGAGCTACAGAAGGAGATATCAAAGGTAAGGAGCCAATGCAGTGCTGAGGTCAATAACTTAAAGCTGAGCTACGAAACCAACATCCAAGTAAGTCGCACAGACATTCAGAGACTGGCGGCCAAGAGGGAGGAGGATACGACTGAGCTCCAGCTGCAGTACGATAGGATGGAGGCAGATAGGAGGAATCTGGAGGAGGAGCTCAGGAGGCTCAGAATGTCTATCAGCCAGGCCGAGGAACAGAAAAACAGGGCTGAGGAGGAAGCTCGCAGCCAGCGAGTTGTCATCACAGAGGAAGGGCGGAGGAGGAGAGAGCTGGAAAGTCAGGTGGAGGCACTGATGAGGCAGATAGACAAGGAGAACAACCAGTATAGAGAAGAGCTGGCTGAGATGATGAACGCCCTGCAGGAGAAGAGCGAGCAGCTGGACTACGTCACACATAGTCTGGAGGAGGAGACCCGCAGGAGAAAAACCACAGAAGAAGGGCAGGGTGTGCTTGAAGAGAGTCTTGCCCAGCTGCAGGTGAAGCTGACAAACTCATCCATAGCTGTGACTCAGCTGAGGGAGTGCAAGGAGGAGCTTCAGACGATACGATTGGAGCTGGAGAAGGAGAGAAGGGAGCGAAGCAGAGTTGAACAAAACATGAGCAGGTTACAGGGACGCATCAAGGACCTTCAGACTGTGAGAGACGGGCTGGAGAGCCAGGTGGAGAATCTGAGGATGGCTAACCAAGACGAAGTGGCGAGAAGAAGGCAGGTCGAAACAGAGCTGGAAAAGACCACACTTGCAATGACAGAGTACACAAGCACCATCACTGCTCTGCGCCAGAGCCAAGAACATGCCAGCACATCTGGAAGAAAAGGGGAAGAAGAGCGGCTTAGGTTGCAGGAAGAGCTGGAGAGAAGCCTGAAGCAAAGCAAGACCTCTGCAGAGCAGGTGACCAAGCTGAGCGCTGAACTGAAGGCTCTGCAGCAGCAGCTACTCCAGGAGCAAGCCCGAGTCAAAGAGGCAAACCTTAGGAACGAAGGTCTTTACAAAACCATAGAGGAGAAGAGTAAAGCACTGAATGAGAACTCTGCTGAGCTTCAGAGACTGAAAGAAACGACAGAAACCCAGACCAAAGAGAGGCTGAAGCTGGAGGAAGAGCTGCGAACGGCAAGACATGATAAAGAGGAACTCTTGAGATCCAAAAAGGGAAGTGATGATGAGCTCTCCTCTCAGATAACTGCCCTGGACCTACAGCTGCAGGCCAGCGAGCGCAGTAACATAGAGTACCGTAACCTGGTCTCAGAGCTCTCCTCTGAGAGGGAGAAACTCAAGCTGGAGACTGACAGAATACAAAAGCAGGCCACTGAGGTACATGGACGTTCGGCACTTAGTCGTGGACTTTTCTCGTCTTTCCAAATCAGAGTCCTGCTTTGGAACAGTCAAGTAGCTCTCGCTGTCTGTAGAAAAACCTTTGCTTGCATGCTAGAACACGTGTAGATCCACGGTAGATGCCTTCCTTCTGGTGACTCTGATTTGAACACATACGTCTGTATGTGTTTGAATAAACCTGCATGTCAATCACTCGCATGTAGACATCATCTGTGGCTCTCACAAACCTTCTGCAAATCTGTGAAAACAGCACAAGTGTTCATTTGAATTATCTACAATTGTTTATTAATCTATTTAAGGTACTTCTTCTTAAGATCTGTCAATCGCTTTATTTGTGCTGCTTTGCAAATTTACAGAATGTCCACAATAACTGTTTAAATCTGAATTCATAGTTAAAATATGAAATGTGTTTATTTTGTAGCTGTAGCTGCTGAAAATATTCTAGTGTCAATATAGTGTTTTGGTCTGCAGGATTGGGAAGGTTGATATCAGGATGAAGTGACAGACTTTTTTTCTTTTTTTCACTTGAATTAATTTCTTGAAAATTTGTGTCACTGTAATACTATTGACTATGTACTTTAACTTCCCAGTCTTGTAAGATTTTGTCTTCATGTTTCTGCAGACAGACTTTGTTAGTTATATGTATTTAGTGTTATTATTATTAATAACGTATTTTAATTCTTTTTTATAATTTTGCATGTACCATTTTGGGGTTTGTCTGTTTTTTCAGGTTTTAAATTACCACAAAAAAAATAATTTCAGAACAGAAAATTCAATTAGGCAATGATCTGTTTTGAGACAAACCACAATCTTGGTCATATTTCACTTGTGTGCTGGTCTCATTTATCCACCTCCAGCATCATTGATTATATGTCTACTGTTTTGTAAAATGCAAAACAAAATTACAATTGTTGAAGTAGTTGACTAACCTTCTGTCTCTCTGGTTTTTCTCTGCTTTCTTCCCCTCTGCAGATAACGGCCTTGATGCAGTCCACTCAGTCGAAATACAGTGAGATTGTAAATGAGAGAGATGCTCTGTTGCTGAAATTCCAATTGTCCGACAAGGACAAAGATCGCTCCCGAACACTGGAGGAGGAACTCAGTCGCATCAAACTGTCCCTAGATTCTGAGCTTCGTAATAAACAACATCTTCAGGATGAGAACGAGAGGGTTAAGAAGGATTTAAGTTACTGGAAGGAGCAGTATGATAGCAAGAATAGCCTCATTAGGCAATATGACACGGACAAGGAGCGTATGGAGAGGGAAAAGAGCTCTTTGAAAAGTGAGATAGAGAGGCTGATGCGAGAGCTGAAGGAGCTTGAGGATACATATAAAGGTAGGCTGTCAGCCATCCAGAAAGAACTTCGAGAGGTGTCCATCCTCAGAGAAACCATGGAGACTGAACTGAAAAAGGCGCCCCCAACCTTGGATGCTTCCTCTGTGGTTTTTGATGGAGTCCGCAAGCCAGTCACAGCAAGTCAGCTTCTTGATTGTGGTGTATTAGACAAACCAACCTTTAACCAGATTGTGAAGGGACATAAGACTGTCCCTGAAGTGTCTGCTGACAAAAAAGTCAGTCTCAAAGGAACAGGGCCAATTGCTGGAGTAGTTGTTGAAGGTCCAAAGAGTCCAGACTCCGTGAGTGGACTCCTCTACAAAATGACTTTCACAGAGGCCAAGACAGAGAATCTCCTGCCACCAGATAGTGTTGACCTGCTTCTGGATGCTCAGGCTGCCACAGGCCACATCATTGACCCCAAAACTAATCAGAAGCTGACAGTTCAGGAGGCATGTAATAAAGGCGTAGTTGATGAAGAGGACAGAGATAGGTTGTTAGCAGCAGAAGCTGCGGCTGTAGGGTATAGCAGTCCTGGCTCAAGCAAACCCCTCTCTGCATTTCAGGCCATGAAGAAAGGACTGATTGACAAGAACACATCACTACGTCTTCTGCAAGCCCAGGAGTCTGTGGGAGGCATTCTAGATCCCATACTTAGTGTGTTCCTTCCCAAAGACACAGCCATTGAGCGGGACCTAATGGATGATGACATGTATCGTGCATTGAGTAAGAGGCCTGCTCTCTACCTGGACCCAGACAGTGAGGAGGGTGTAACTTATATGGCGATGAAGAAGAGATGTAAGGTAGAACTACACACAGGCCTTCTGCTCCTTCCTGTCTCAGATAAGACAGACCTCTCCAGACTTGTCTTTGATGGAGTTCGGAAACCTGTCACAGCCAAACAGCTGCTTGATTGTGGTGTAGTAGACAAGCCAACTTTTAAAGATCTTGAAAAGGGCAAGAAAACTGTCCCAGATGTGTCTGCAGACAAAAATGTCAATCTGAAGGGGACTGGACCCATTGCTGGGGTTATAGTTGGGAATCAAGGCAAAATGTCATTATCAGAAGCTAAGAAACAAATGCTTCTGCCTTCTGATTGTGCAGATTTACTCCTGGAAGCCCAGGCTGCCACAGGCCACATCATTGACCCTAAAAACAATCAGAAGCTGACAGTAGAGGAGGCATGCACCAGAGGTGTGGTGGACATTAAGGATCGAGACAAATTATTGGCAGCAGAAGCCGCTGCTGTGGGATACAGGGATTCCAGCGTGGCCAAGCCTGTCTCTGTGTTTGAGGCCATGAAAAAGGGACTAATTGATAGCAAAACAGGGGTACGCCTCCTGCAGGCCCAGGAGTCAGTGGGAGGAATTCTAGATCCCAATCTCAGTGTGTTTCTACCTAAAGACACAGCTATCAAGCGCAACCTTTTAGATGAAAACCTCCGTAAAGCTCTGAACAAGAATCCTGCTTGTTACCTTGATCCAGAAACTGAGCATGATGTCAGCTATGGGGCATTAAAGAAAAGATGCAAGACAGAACCACACACAGGTCTGCTGCTTTTGCCAATCACTGAGAAGCTAGATCCTTCGAAACTCATCTTTGAAGGTGTACGAAAGCCAGTAACGGCACAGAAGTTGCTTGATTGTGGAGTCCTGGACAAACCAACATTCAACAAGCTATTAAAGGGGGAGAAAACTGTCCCAGAGGTGTCTAAAGAGAAAAAGATCTTTCTAAAGGGAACAGGATCAATTGCTGGTGTGGCAGCAGGACATTTAGGAAAAATGTCTTTATCAGAGGCCAAGAAACAGATGCTCATGCTCACAGATAGTGCAGATATGCTACTGGATGCTCAGGCTGCCACAGGCCACATCATTGACCCCACAACCAATCAGAAGCTCACAGTGGAGGAAGCATGTGCCAAGGGAGTGGTGGACATTAGGGATCGAGACAGACTGTTGGCAGCAGAAGCTGCTGCTGTGGGCTACCGGGATCCGAACACAGCTAAGCCTCTTTCAGTGTCTGATGCAGTGAAGAAGGGATTAATTGACAAAAAGACTGGGCTACGCCTCCTTCAGGCCCAGGAGTCTGCAGGGGGAATATTAGATCCCAACCTCAGTGTGTTCCTCCCTAAAGAAACAGCTATTAAGCGCAACCTTCTGGATGAAGATCTCTTATATGCGCTAAACCAGAGTCCTCAGTGTTATATTGATCCTGACACTGAGCTTGATGCCAGCTATCAGGCTTTAAAGAAAAGATGCAAAACAGAGTCTCATACAGGCCTGATTCTTCTGCCAATCACTGAGCGGAAAGACCCTTCCAAACTGATGTTTGAAGGGGTCCGCAAGCCAGTCTCAGCACAGCAGTTGTTTGAATGTGGAGTCCTTGACAAGCCAACTTTTAACCAGCTAGTGAAAGGGGAGAAAACTGTCCCAGTAGTGTCTGTGGAAAAGATGGTCTATCTGAAGGGGACTGGGCCAATTGCTGGAGTGGTTGCAGGGCGTCAAGGAAAAATGTCAATGTCAGAGGCGAAGAAACAGAAGATTCTGCCTGATGATTGTGCAGATTTGCTGTTGGAAGCTCAGGCTGCCACAGGCCACATTCTTGACCCTAAAACTGATCACAAGCTGACAGTAGAGGATGCATGTGCTAAAGGAGTAATAGACATGAGAGATCGAGACAGATTATTGGCAGCAGAGGCAGCTGCTGTGGGATACAAGGATCCAAGCTCTGCCAAGCCTCTTTCAGTGTTTGAGGCCATGAAGAAGGGACTAATTGACAAGAAGACTGGAGTACGACTCCTTCAGGCCCAGGAATCAGTTGGAGGAATTCTAGATCCCAATCTCAGTGTGTTCCTGCCAAAAGACACAGCTATCAAACGCAACCTTTTGGATGAAAATCTCCGCAATGCTCTAAAACAGAGTCCTGCTTGTTACCTTGACCCAGAAACTGGGAATGATGTCAGCTATGGGACTTTGAAGGGACGATGCAAGACAGAGCCTAACACAGGCCTACAACTTCTGGAAGTCACCGAAACTTTTGACCCCTCTAAATTACTCTTTGATGGTATCCGTAAGACAGTCACAGCACAGATGTTGCTTGAATGTGGTGTGCTGGATAAAATGACATACCAACAACTACTAAAAGGGGAGAAAACTGTCCCAGAGGTGTCTGTTGATAAGAAAGTCTTTCTGAAGGGGACTGGGTCGATTGCTGGTGTTGCAGCCGGACCTTTAAAGAAAATGTCCTTTACAGAGGCAAAGAAAAATAATATTATGCCTTCTAACAGTGCTGACATGCTACTTGGTGCCCAGGCAGCTACAGGCCACATCATTGACCCAAGAACTAATCAGAAACTGACAGTAAAAGAAGCGTGTGCCAGAGGAATAGTGGATAAAGAGGATGAATCAAAGCTGTTTGCAGCTGAGGCTGCCGCCATAGGTTACAGAGACCCGAACAGTACCAGACTCCTATCAGCAGGCCAGGCCTTGGGGATTGGATTAATTGACAAGGACACAGCTCTACGTATACTTCAGGCTCAACAGTCTGTTGGGGGTATTTTGGACCCTACCCTCAGTATATTCCTCCCCAAAGACATGGCTATGAATCGGGGTCTCATCGATGAAGACTTATACCGGGCCCTGAATCAATCTCCTCAGTGCTATCTGGATCCAGACACCCAACAAGCAACTACCTATGTATCTCTGAAGAAAAAATGTAAAGCTGATCCAAGCACTGGTCTTTTGTTGCTCCCTGAATCCGTAAAGCCATTAACTGTCCATGGGCTCAGGGGCGAGGTGTCAGTCATGGATCTGGTAGATGCAAATCTGCTTAAACAGTCAGATGTGGACCAACTAAACAAGGGCAAATTGACATGCCAGGACATCCAAGACCGCCTGCGCATCTACCTGAGGGGCTCCAACTGCATAGCAGGAATTTTTGATGAGGCCAACGAGAAAGTGATGCCCATCTATCAGGCCATGAAAGATGGACTGTTGCGACCTGGGACCACTCTGGAGCTGCTTGAGGCCCAGGCGGCCTCAGGTTTCATAATTGATCCAGTCAATAACCTGTATTTAACTGTTAATGAAGCCTATGATAGAAAACTTGTTGGGCCAGAGTTCAAGGATAAGCTGTTATCAGCAGAAAGAGCTGTGACTGGTTACAAACTGCCTGGTACAAACAAGATCATCTCCCTCCTTGAGGCCATAGAAAGAGGTATAATGGAGAAAGGTCATGGCATCCGCCTACTAGAGGCCCAGATTGCCAGTGGTGGTATCATTGATCCTGAGCACGGACATCGTATTGACGTGAATGTGGCCTATAAGAAAGGTTACTTTGATGAAAAAATGAACAAAATCCTCACTGATGAGGATGATGACACCAAGGGTTTCTTTGACCCTAACACAGAAGAAAACCTAACCTATCTGGGGCTTAAGAGACGCTGTATCACACATGAGAAGACTGGCCTTACCCTTCTACCTCTCGTGGACAAGAGAAAGTCAAGTCGGAAGAACACTCGGAGACAGAGGAGAGTGGTGATTGTGGATCCAGAAACGAACAAAGAGATGACCATACGTGAAGCTTATGACAAGGAGTATATTGACTATGACACCTTCAAAGAGCTCTCCGAGCAGGAGTGTGAGTGGGAGGAGGTCACCATCACTGCCCCAGATGGTTCTATCCGCTTCGTCATCAATGACAAGAAGACTGGAAGAAAATATGACATTAATGAACTGCTTGAGAAGCGAGTGATTGACCAGTCAGTTCTAGATCAATACCGCTCACATGACATCACCCTCACACAATTTGCAGATATCATCACAGAAAAGACCCAACATGGATCATCAGCCTCGGCAAAATCTTCAGTGACATCTTCATCATTAACTTCAAGAGTATCAGGTTCATCGTCAGTGAAATCATCATCAGCTTCAAGAACAGAAGCGTCAGGTTCATCGTCAGTGAAATCATCTTCAGCTTCAAGAACAGAAGCGTCAGGTCCATTGTCTGTGACGACATCATCATCGTTGATGAAGAGACCCTCATCACCTACTCTAGCCAAGATGACCACAACAAGAACCACTACTGTCACAGAGCGAAGTTCCACAACCAGCGGTGCTTGGGACTCACCTGACTCCCACAAGCATTTCTCCAGCGTGTCTATCAATCTGGCCTCTCCTGTCGAAGCAGTGGGTGAACAGGAACCCGTGGGGGCCATCTTTGACACAGACACGGTGGAAAAGATAACCATCATGGAGGCTCGAAATCGTGGTCTGGTGGATTCAATCACTGCCCAGAGACTACTGGAAGCTCAAGCCTGCACTGGAGGAGTCGTGAATCCCGCAAATGGCCATAGACTTGGCATCCAAGAAGCCGCCCGCATGGGCATAATAGATGACGACATGGCCACTAAGCTCAAGGCTGCACAGAAAGCCTTTGTTGGCTATGATGACGTAAAAATCAGGAGGAAGATGTCTGCTGCCGAGGCCATGAAGGAGATGTGGCTACCATATGAGGCAGGACAGAGGTTCTTGGAGTTCCAGTTTGTAACAGGGGGGCTTTATGACCCAGAGGTTGACTGCAGAAGATCCTTAGAAGATGCTTTGAACTTGGGCTGGCTGGATGCGAGATCAGCCCAGAAGCTCCAGGACATCAGACACCACACAAAGAATCTGACCTGCCCCAAGAGCAAACTGAAGATCTCTTACAAGGAGGCTCTGGATAACTGCCTGGTGGAGGAGGGCACAGGCGTGAAGATGCTCCAGGCATCGTCTGTGTCTTCAAAAGGGATCAGCAGTCCATACAACGTGTCCTCTGCTCCAGGGTCCAACACAGGCTCCAGGAGCGGCTCAGGACGAGGCTCCCGCAGGGGCAGCATGGACCTGGGCTCCTCCACCTCCTCACTGTCGACTCACTACACTCACACAAGCTTCTCCAACTTCTAAATCAAAGGAAAAGATCCTGTACATGCACGCGCTTCTCTTACAAATTAGTATTTTTTAATGTGGGAAAAACAACTGGGTTAAAGGCATAATTGTGTGTTGTGTACATGGAGAAAAATTCAAGTGAAACGTTTTAAACTTTTTGCATGGTTATAGATGTTAGATTGGTGTTGCTAAGCTTTTAAAGATGATAGTTCAAACGATCATGTGAATGAACTAAATTAAAGTATTAATACATGTCATCTTAAGGTATTTGGATTGAAAGTTAACTTTATGTTATTATAAATGTTGGTGCCCCTAGAATAGGCTTAGAAAGAATGGCCAAACTATTTCATACACGTATTTCAAATAGAATATAACTGCTTTTTAAGCCTTGCATCGGTAACATACACTAAGGCCGATAACGTGTTTACATGTGTTTGACATTGAAATATCCTGTTTTGTGTGAGGAGGGATGGGTTCGGTTGGGTTTCATATATTTGCTTGACTACTACATTTTTTTTATTGAATCAGTTATTGTTCTCCTGCAATTTAGAGCTTCCGGTTTTGTAACTTTCTCTCAGTATCTTACAATAAAATTTAACCTTATAGACTCTCATGGATTCTGTTTTTATTCATGGTCAGTGTCATGCTTAAAGGTTAAAATATGATATTACTGAGTTAGGATATAAAATTCCTTAGTTTAGGTAGCTAATGTAAGAGCCCACAGCTTGAAGCAAATCTTCATTCTCGTTCAGCCTGTAATCGTTTAAACTGCATTGATGTGTTTTCAACTTTGAATCGCACCTCGGAGGATATTTAACATACAACACCATGTTTTGTTGACTAGTTTTTACATTTCTTTTGTGAATTGACTTACGTTTCCTCAGACTAAATCTGATATTGACAGTCATGAGTGAATGTAGGATTCTTCATTAGCAGCTCATGCCCATGAAAAGAGACTTGCTGACAAAAGAGACAATGCAGAAAAAGAATATATA